AGAGGGTGGTAGGAAGGGTGTAATGTCAACACAGATTTTTCTCCCATCCACCATGACCTAAAAGGCCAAAGCAGAGAAAAAGCATTAGAAGAAAAGATGATCCTGTGAAGGCTAAGGCAATGGCTGCAAGGTTTTATAGAAACCATGCTATTTCCTAATAAGCTAGAAACAGCTGGGCTTGGATGTTATAATTTCCCTTCTGGATTCTGGAAATGATGGTCTCTATGTGTTCCTCAGAGAAAGAGATTCAATAAATCATCTAAAACCATTAATTACATTATTATATCTGATTTCACATTGGTGTACTATAAAAAGCATTTTGCCATGTCCTGTTAATTTTTTATTGCACCACTCCTCATGGTTTGGGGAGGATTACCTTTGGAGTGTGACACAGTAGGACTCATAGATGAAATGTTGATGTGACATTGTGGATCGTAACAGCTAGGTTCTTAAAAGAATATTGCAAGGGGACAAAGCAGCTTGTCCCAGTTTTTTTTACAATAATAAAGAAAAAAAAAACCTTTACATGCTTGTTATTCACATAGAGATGTATTTGAATAAAGTTCTCATGGTCAAAATTGTTGTACCACATTTGAAGCAGACCCATAGGCTGAGTTTTATAAACCACCGTGCAATAGAAGTCAAGGCCATGGCACGCATGGGCTCTGCCCACATGCTGTCTCTCTGCCAGGGGTCTTGCAATGCTAATGAGAGAGGACTCTGAGAAGAGGGCCAGACAACTTCTGTTCCATTTAGAAGGAATGAAAGGATGAGGTACATGCTCTACAGTATGCCTCTGTTCTTGCCAAAGATTACAATCCTCATAACCACCCTGTAGGAAGGAAAATGTTATAGTCAACTCTGCCTGTGGAGACAAAATGCCTGACAAGAACCACTTAGAGGACAGAACTTTATTTGGGGATTCCCAGATTCAGGGTCTCAGTCCATAGATGGTCAAGTCCAATGCTCTAGGCCCAAGGGGAGGCAGAACATCATGGTAGAAGGGTGGAGGAACACTGTTCCATTCATGGAAACCAGGAAGCAGAAAGAGGGAAGGAAGAAGGGCCCACAGGGAAGATGAACTCCTCCAGAACCCGCAGTGACCCACCTCCTCTAGCCACACCCCCCTTGCCTACAGTCACCACCAGTCATTCATTCAACTAGGATGAACTGATTAGGTTGCAGCTCTCATAATCTAATCACATCACCTCTGAATATTCCTGCATGAACACGGGAGTTCTGGGGAAACACCTTGCATCCAAATCATAATAGAAGCTTCCATCTTCCAGGAAGGATGATAACCTGGTCCTATGACATGGAACAAGATTTGCCCTATCTATACTGTCTCTCTGGGTCCCCACTCACTGCTTTTTTGTAGATTTCTTCCTAACACACATTTTCATTCCAGAAACAAACAGAAAGCTGGCTGACCATGAGCTAAAACATTGCCACAGATATTCATTTATAATGTTGTGATCCAGATGTCTCATTTTTCCTTTTCTCAAAAATCACTCTCTGAGGATGGCTCAGGAAAAAAAAAAAAAAATCCTTGCATGGCTTCCGGTGTCACCTGAAATGAGAGTTTGCCGGCGCTGCCCCAGGATGGGTCAAGGCTATACATTTGAGATGAAGTCTTTCTTTAAGCCTTATCTGGGAAAAAAGAACCGAAGAAGCATCATCTTGAAACACTCATTTGATTTCATTTCCACAGTGCCACCTGTCACAATACCTAAACATGTAGAGTTTGGTTCATCCTGAGCATTATGCAGTCACTGTCGAATAAAACATTCACCAGACAGATAGAAGATAGGCCAATTTTTTAAGCTTCAATAAGGAAATGAGAATTAATGTTGGCAAATTAAAATCATCTCTGACAATGCATATACTCTGTTGTTTCAGAATATAACAATGAAATGAAATTTGTGTCGCTGTCATTTTAAATTAAGAAGTCTGGAAATGATATGACATCTGGAACACTGAGAAGCGATATTTAAAGGAGAGGATATTTAATTGTGAAATTTCAAATAAAGACACAAGGTTTCTCTAGTTTATATTCTACCAGTCTTCCAAAGCCAAGGAGATCGAACCCTTTCTCCAAATCTTCACCTTGTTTTCTGTGAACTAATTCATGTATGGTGAAGAATGTGACCCTCAGGAAGTGGAAAGTACTCTTGGATATTTACTCTGTAAAGAGATACCTTTGTCATTGCAAATAGTCTTGGAGTCAGCTGATAGTTTTGTTACTGACTTACTGATGCCACAGTGATATTGTGCCTTCAGCCCCATCCCTAGAAAGCAACCTCTTTAACACGGGCTTACCAGGAGAGGTAGGAAAGATGAGTATTAATTATTGTTGTGTAAATGGGAAAACTGCACTCTCAGGGCTGGCTGTGGACTTGCCTAAGGTAAATGGCAGAGAGGAACCAATTACCCAACTCTGTGACTTCCCTCTTCCTCCCACAGTTGAGAAAACCAAGAACATGGTTCAAATATGGGTTCTGATTACTTCTCTGTCACCAACTAGCTGTGCATCCTGAGTAAATCACAATATCTTTACACCTCAGTTTTCTCATCTGCAAAATGGCACTATGTTCAAGTCAGCTTTTCATTACTGTGACAAAATGCCTGACAAAAACAACTTAAAGGATTAAAGGTCTATTCTGGTTCATGATTTCAGAGGTTTCAGTCCATAGTTAGCTGGCTCCATTGCTTTGGGCCTGAGAGTGGATCACAGCAGTACAGTGGAAGGGTGTGGCAGAGGAAAGCTACTCACCTCATATAGATAAGAAGCAGAAGAGGCTGGGGCAGTCAAAATAAACCCTTAAAAGGCACACCACCAAAGACCTGCTTATTCCAACTAGGACCCATCTCCTAAAGTGTCCACCATCTCCTAATAGTGCCACCAGCTGGAGACCAAGCCTTCAACACATAATTTGGGGAGGAACATTCTAGATCAAAACTATAACAGGCACAATTATCACCCTACCTGCCAGAGAAACAATCGATTCATAGTGCTTACTTTCTTTCCCCATGTTAAAAAATAAAATAAAAAAGATGACATACAATTCTTACTACCAAAACAATTTAAAAATTGAGACCAGATGGTATGAGGACTGAGGTGGCCAGAAGCCTAAATCCCTGGTTTATCTTCTAATTACAAATGTAATTCATATCAAATCAATTGGCATCTTTGTTTCTCTAACTCCTCTGCTACACTTTGGTTGTACCAGAACTTTTTTTTTTTTCCTGATTTTTGGTTGTACCAGAACCTTTTTTTTTTTCTAACTCAGTCTATTAGGTTTCTATGCTACTTTTTTTTTTCCTGTACACCATGCTGCCTCTGAGACACTTTACCATGTTCACTAAAGATAAACAGCTAGAACGTTTGTGTGCAGTAAAAAGATCAGTATTGCCAAATCAGTGTAACACATTTGCAGTCCCACTGTGATTATTATTTTTTTAAAACTGGTTGTTAGAAGCGTGTAACAGCCTAATGGAATTAAAATCACCAGGCAAAGCATAATGAGGAGTAGGAGTCAAATTATTTTAGGAACTACTGAGACTTTGTCCCTGGCCTACTCCGAAGAGCTCACAAAGACTCTGTGTGACACCTGACAGGGACAGCCTTCTCTGAAGTGTCCTCCCTTCCAAGGGATCATTAGTGCTGCTCAGCTCTGGCCACAGTGGCAAATGTCAGCCACTCAAAGAATCAGCTGCTTAATTAGATTTGGAGAACAGAAGGAAAAGGCAAATTTTCAAGGTAAAATGCCAGATATTGTGTAGCAAGGGAAAGCCAGAGGCAGAGTGGAGGTTTTCCATTAGCATTTCACCACTGCCTGAGGTGAGTTTTAGAATTCTACAGCAAAATGATCTAGTGCCAGGAGCCAGGAAGAGCATCTTTTCTGGACTTCAAGAGAGTTCTAGAGTTCTCTACCTGGAGGGCTGCTCTTTCCTCAGGCTGCTTAAGTCACAGACTGAACACAGTGAAGAGCCTTATTTTTTTTTTTTTGCACCTGGCTAACAGGCACGGGCGTGCATGAGCGCGCGCGCGCACACACACACACACACACACACACACACAATTGTGCACTTGCTTGCACGAGTGCAGACACACACACACACACACACACACCTCATTTTGGTCCAATCTTTGCATTTCACAGACTCCTTCCATGTCCAATATCTTCATGAGATGGGGCAGGTGTTGAATCATTTTTCAAATGATAAAAGTAAAGCTCAGGAATTGTGGGAAAGTGTGCCCAGCTGCTCAAAGATGATGGGGAATTCAGGCCTCAAACCTGTCTCTTGACGCAAACCTGGTACTCTCTCTACCATTCAGAGGCAATTCAATTTGCTCTTCTTCCAGGCAGGTTAAAGTTTTGTTTTTTGTTTTTGTTTTTGTTTTTTTAATTCAATGCCTGAGGTATCTAAAACAAATTACATGAGTACATTTAAAGAAAATAAATAGAAATATTCGATGATCTTGAGCAGACAAAATTTTTACAAAGAAATCAGCATGTTGTGAACATCCACCAAAAGCACATTTGTGTGTTCAGGGTTCTTCAACATGTGCTAGAGGGAAACACTGGTCAGCAGTTGTGCTCTGGACTGCAGGATGTACAGAATTAATTTTCTGGAGGAGGGAGATTTGGAGCTTCTTGGGTTCTTATCTCAGAGCATTCATTTGAAGCATCTGTTGAAATCTCAGCAGATGGGGCACATCAGAAATATATTTTTCTTTATGTTTTATCTTTAGTTCCTTAAAGAAACCTGGCACCTACTGCACTGTGGGGAGAAATAAAAGTTCACTTTATATCATCACTTGTAATATAAAGACATAAGCATTACTTATTCCTAGGGGAGTTACTTCACTGTTTTCCTTTCCTGGTCAGTTTTATAGTTAAGCTTTATTGAAATAAAAACTAAAACTTCGATTTAAATGTGGTATTTCTCCCCCCAAAAATACACTAAGTGCTTTTTGTTTGTTTTTATTTCTGCAGGTCTCGATGGACACCTGATCCCCTGCTGCTGCCTTTGTTTAAAAACCCAGAGGTTTTGTTGTGCTGATTTCCCAGTCTATAATTTCTACTGTGGCCACATGCAAAAGCAATGTCAATTACGTCCTTCTTAACCCCTGTGTGAAAATTTGACTTTAATATACCTGTTCATTCCTTCAACTTCATAAAGATGTCTGAGCCTGACTCTTCATCTGGATTTGCAGGGAGTGTGGAGAATGGAACTTTCCTTGAGCTGTTTCCCACATCGCTATCCACATCGGTGGACCCGTCCTCAGGCCACCTGTCCAATGTCTACATCTATGTGTCCATATTCCTCAGCCTTTTAGCATTTCTGCTTTTGCTTTTAATTATTGCCCTCCAGAGGCTCAAAAACATCATCTCCTCCAGCTCCTCCTACCCCGAGTACCCAAGTGATGCTGGAAGTTCTTTCACCAACTTAGAAGTCTGTAGCATTTCCTCTCAAAGGTCCACTTTTTCAAACCTTTCATCCTGAAGAAAGTGGAAGAATCCTTAAAGCAACAGCAGTTTCAGTTTTCCTTTATGGGGAGTGTTGAGTCATCAAAGAAAGGACCTCTTTGGGTTAGACCTGTTTTCCTCCTTCCTCTTTGATTTCTTTTCTGTTCCCCGATGCTTTTCATTTCTGAATGGAGAAGCAGATGCTGACAGAAATGCGTGCAAACTTGGAGGTGCAGAATTTCACACAGACCGTTTGACAGATCCGGAGCTGGCTTCTTGGAGGTTGACCAGCATTTTGTTGTATGTTCACTGGGAGGCTTTCTCAGAGAATGCTGGGTATGGGCTTTTGCACTTCATTTCTCTTACAAAACCACAAGATCAACTGAGCCAGCAGCACCTGGCAAAACTGAATTATTAAGAAGATATTCTCCAAACTTGAAAGATAAAGCAGAGACACCAAATTTAAAAAGAAAAAGAGAAAAAGTGAGTCAGTCTAGAATTAATGTGTAACATTTCTAAACCGGGGGAAAAAAATACACAAAATGTTTTCTTTAATTTCACTTTAACAAATGAAAGTCACATTTATGGATAGATATGACATTTGGAAAAGTTTTGGAAGAGTTTGACTTTCAGTAGCAAGACAAATATGCGTCATGAAGCAGTTTGTAATGTATCTGTGCCTCCTGGGCTTTTTCTTCTACTTATGTTGCAGTTATAATAGCCCTCAATTGTGGAATTCTTTATGATAATTGTTATTACTGTTACTAAGAGAAATACCAGAAGAGACACCAAGGATTTTTTATTTTCTGTCTATAATTTCTGTCAGTGGGAATTAAGCCTAGGGAAAATATTCATTTAGTTGTATTTTATACAGTCATAACTTCTGGCAGTCATGTATGTTCCTTTATTCAGCTTCCCAGTCTTTATAATTTTAGTGCAGAATTATATTAAGGCCCCAAGGCATCAGATGTTTGTTCATTCACTTCAGGTTGCAAAACTTAAGAGATTAAATTGCTGATATACATGTTTTTATATACCCTGTGAATGTTCTGTGTCTCTGATAATTAGTCATTGTATGTTAATAGAATATTCTGCATTAGGATTCCAGGATGTGTGCTTATATTAAAATTCTAGACCCTCCAGTTGTCCCTGCTGAGAGCTTTAGTTATGCCAGCAGCTGCCACACTGTGATGAGTCAAATACCTCTGAACTTGGAGGGGGGTCCTCAAAGTGAGATGCTCATGAGCATAGATGCTGAATGTGGAAGAAATCAAGCTGCCCCTAAAAGCAAAACAAAGCAAATGCTACAGCTTCTTAAGAACAAGAATCTTAATTTAATTTGAAAAATAAATGGCCCACAGCATAAACACTGAACTTGATCTGCGGAAGCCACTGCACCGACATGCCAGTCTTCCCGTGGCAACGGAATCAACCTTTGCTCACAACATTTAATGGTCTTAAATGGTGGAGCTTCAACACGTCCTTAGGTTGGCCTGTGCAGTCAGCACTCTAAGGTCACAAGAAAGGGAAGAAGGATCCACCGTGTTCCAGGGTCTGTCTTTGTCACTCTGAAATGCTGAGAGATTGAGGACCGGTAAGGAGGATCAGAAGCCTTTAACTTCCTGTTCTTTTTTCAATCCATAAGCTTCACTTAAATCTAACCCTGTTTAACTACTCATATACTCCAAACACCATACAACCTGCACAGAGTTGCTGCCCTTAAATGTATAATCAGTGAAAAATTTGCCTCTGCTGCCATTGAAAGCATTATGTAGTTTAAAATTTGGACTAGAGAAACTCTGCTGTTTTAGATCAGTATTAGCATTCTCTGAGTATATGTATGTATGTACATGGATGTGTATATATAAATATATATGTATTGTGTGTATTCACACACACATGCAGACACACACACACACACACACACACACACACACACACACACTTACTTTCATATGCTCCTAGTTGAAAGTTGTGTGAAAGCCACACAGGAGTACAGAGACACCTATGATGACACTTTTTCTTTTCAATTATTCTTGTGTTATTTCGTTACTGAGAGGCAAAGGGACATGGGTGAAGTGACTTTAAAAAATAAATGGACACATGTTCCACACAGAACAGTAAAATCTGATTGTGATCTGTCCTAAGGGGTAACTTTATAGCCTTTCCTTCTGAAAGAGATATAAAGCCTTCTGACAGCAAAACTCCTTTAAAAAACAAATCAAATCAAATCTGCAAGTACACTCCCACCCCTCTCCTGCCGCACGATTTCTTGCACTCCATGTTAAGTGGAGTAATTAGGAACAACATTCAAAATGGAAAATAGGATTTGTCATTACTAGCTTGCCAAGGTAACAGATTGTACAACTTGAGAAGAATTTGTGTTGTTTAAGAAGTTCAGAAAGGTTGGAAGATGGGTTTATAAATAAAGAAGTGGAGTCCATTGAAAGCCTGGTTTCTTCTCTGATTTTTTTTTTCTTGTGCAATAATCTGCTCTCTTCTCTCCTAGAGAGGATGCTTTTCCTGGAAGTTTTAAGTGTATCTATGTCTACAGAGTGTGTCTATATCTAAATGTCCATAATATCATATACGTCTTTATGTTATAGTATTATATAATCATCCCTTTTCAGTATGTCCTCTCTGAAGTAGGGTCAATAATGTTTGACCCAAATGTTGGTCTCTCCCCACTCTGCAAGGGTGACTTCCTCTGGGACAGTGAGCTTCACATTTCCCTGATGAGAAGAATCATCTGGGGGCTTGTAAAATACACTGATTCCCAGGCTACCCCCTGCCAGACCTCCAGGAGTGGAGCCAGGGCATGGGGATCTTTGAGAAGGACCCAAGTGGTGCTGCTCATGAGCAGGGCACACATGGCGGAAGCCTCAGGTTGATTGTTCGGGCATACTTGCAGGGGGGCGGGAGGTCTTCCCTCTCGCCACTGTCCACATAACTGCAGTTCTCCAAGGTGAGCATTCTTACTCCCAACCCCAGCTCACAGGCCTCACTGGGACCTCTTCTGCTGGAGACTGAACTCCAGGCCCCCCTCCTGGAAATAGATAACTGCTGTGTTGTGATGGATTCAGTGGAAATGGGATATGAACAAGGTCCCATCTCTTCCCTGTTTCCCCTCTAGATTCCCCCCAGCTCCACTTTTACAAGATGATGTGCATTTAGCAGACTAGAGGAGGAGAGGAACTGAAGAGATTTATAATGAGAGAAAAAAAAAATATTACATTGTGCTTTGAGTAAGACTATCCACTAGTCCAAAGGAAAATGTGGCAACTTGAGTATGGAATTTCAAGGAGCAGCATGTTTCTAGACTTGTTTCCCTGCCTTGAGGTCTGCTTCCCACTTCTAATTAATGCCATTTCCCACCCTCTGTTCTCCATTAGAAAGTCCCTTAGCATCCTTTATAGGACTTTTTGCCCATCTCTGCTCTGTTTTTCACAAAGCCCCTAGAGTGATCTTTCTTAACCCTAAATTCCCTGCTTGCGGTCCTTCGATGGATTCCCACTGCACTCAGAATAAAACTCAAGCTCTTTCTATAATTTCCTAGCAGAACCTCAGAATTCAGAAAGCCTAAGTTATTCAGGAGAGATCTCACCAGGCTGTGTGGGAGTATGAGTCTGGGAGGAGTGTGTGTTGGAGAGGAGGCCATAACAGAAGAGTCAGAGGGGAGCTCTGGGCTCCTGGTCCAGCTATTTTCATCAGCTCTCCATCACTGAGAAGACAATGTGCTTCTTTTGCTTCCTAGTTAGCTAATGGGTAGATCTTAAGATCAAATATGTGTCTGTGTGCATGCACTTGCACACATGTACACTAACATACTAACATACACTTGCTTTCACAAACACACTTCCCAAGAACAGACAATTATTCTCAATGTACAAAGACACCACCTGGATTGTTAAAGTCGTCTTTCTTCAATTTAACCTTGTCCTCAATAGCAATCAGAGAACCCTTACTTATCCTTCTACTTCAAAATACAAAAAAG